TTGTATTATATTAAATATAATAATAAATATACATTATATTGTAATTATATATATTATATTATAGTATAATATAATCATTATTTTTAATTATTTCATTTATTATTTTAATAATATTATTATATTATATATCATAATTATATAATATATTATATAATAATATTTTTTTTATTACATTAAGTATAATAATAAATATATATTATATTATAATTATATATATATTATATTATAGTATAATATAATATAATCGTAATTTTTAACTATACATAATAATTTAATCGTATAATTTATCAAACGTTATTATATTAATTTTAAAATAAACACAACTATAATAATTATAATTTATCAAATATTTAATTATTTTTTATAACAACTATTTATTTTTTTAATACAGTTAAGTAATTTTTTTAAAATATACGGCATTACCAAAAACTAAACCGATGATTGAAGAGGAGTGTAAATGGTCGAATAAGGACCGTCTCTGCAATTATTTTATCCGTGATATATGTCACTCGAAGCGTTAGTCCCGTGGTATTTTTGTAAATAACCGCAACTACTTGCGTTTGGGGACAAATAGTCATACTATTACAGTTACGCTTGCTCGTTAAACATTGTAAGTAAAAAAAAAAAAAAAGAAAAAAAAAAACCATTTTTCTGTCTCTCTTCCATGCAGTTTCATTCTCAGTCAATACGCTGTTTTCCCGGTAATCCTCTACGAAATCTCGGCTTGGGAATTTTCCGAGAATCCCACATTTTCCTGTAAGTATTGAAAAATTCTCTATTGTCTCGTCGATTTCATTTGACTTCTACGTTGACTTATTTTTCTTCTTCTGTTTTCAATATTTTGATTGGGAATTGAGGTCGAGAAGTTCGGGAATTTCGGAGATGGCGCCTCCAATTCTTTCGTTAGCTCTGCCTTCGGAGACCGGCCGAGTTCTCAGTATTCAGTCGCATACAGTTCAGGTGTGGAAAAATTTTCACGATTACCTTCTTTTTGGTTACCGAGAAATTCGCGGAAGGAAAAGGATTTGATTGAATTCGAGGTTTTCTGGATTTGATTAAGATTGTGCTGATTTCCATTTGGCTGATTTTGCTTCGTATTTATTTATCAGAGTTTACGGCATGCACGACTTTTGAATTAGTTTTTAATATTGGTCTTAATTCATACTTTGTTTGAATATGATTTTCTGCGTTATTAGTAATAAAAATTTAGGTGATATTGGAAAATGGAAAGGGATTTTCTGATTTGGCTGGAAAGTTTCAGTGTGGTTATGAATTCATTTCAAATGTTGCCTTTTTCTTTCCCCCAATGGTGGTATGAAGTTTGCTTGTACATCTAAGTAAAGCATTCATTTTATATCCTGATTAAGGTAACTGATAAGTTTTTATGTCTTGCCTGAAATTTTCCATCTTTACCTTTCAGATTTTATATCATATCATGTCCTGATTCTGCCTATTTCAACGGGTGGTTATGGCCCTATGTTCAATTTCAGCACCAACTTAAACTTGTTTGTTGTTCTGTTTCTTTGACTTATCTCTAATCTACAACTGCTCGATGCTATTATACACGCAGATGAATGTCTTATGATTGTGTGAATTTGCATCATTACTTTTCTGCATTCTAACCTTATGAAGTTGGTTTCTTTTTATCGCTGTAGGGATATGTTGGGAATAAATCTGCCGTGTTCCCTCTCCAACTACTAGGCTATGATGTTGATCCAATCAATTCAGTGCAATTCTCGAACCACACAGGCAAGCTGATTCTATTACTTCATTCAAACAGTCTCAAACTCTGAGGCTTGGTGTACAGTGCGATGTTTATGTTCAGGCACAGTGTCCTAGTTTGTAGAATGGAGATCACAATTTAATGGTCTGAAAACCGTGCAGGATACCCGACTTTTAAGGGTCAAGTTTTGAATGGAGAACAACTATGGGAACTAATAGAAGGCCTCGAAAAGAATGATTTATTATACTACACTCATTTATTGACAGGTATTTACAAACTTAGCTTTCTTGTTGATGGTTTGATATTTTAATGTATGATCACTGCTACATTTCTTACCGGATGAGTTATATTACATTGTCTAGAATGAGAGAGAACTTTATTTGGGGTAGACTAATAGAACTTTCAGAAGCTATATAATTCTCTTCTTGATTTGTGTGTGCAAACAACCCTATTAGTTTGATGCAATAGTACTTGAATATTCGAGTGTTGACCAAAGTTAGTAAAAGTGTGATCCAAGTTAATTTATACCTGTTTAAATAATGTAAGTCAGCTGAACCAATAGATGACCAAGATCCTTTCTTTTATCTCTCCACTTTCATGCACCTTTCCTCATCCATTGAGAATAAGCACCTTTTAGATTTTACATTTTTGGCCCCTTTAGTTTTATCTTACTGGACATGGGCAGCTTGGGGATTAGGAATTTAAAAGGGAAGAACTTGGCTTTCTTAGGTAAGTGGCTGTGGAGATTTCCATTGGAACAAGACTCTTTGTGGGCTAAAGTCATAAGAAGTAAATACAATATGAAACCAAATGGTTGGGATTCAAACCTAGTAACGAGGGGATCATTTAGAAGTCCATGGAAGTTTATTTCTCAGGGATTGAATGTTTTCCTTCAAAATACAAAACTGAGAGTTGGGGATGGGACTAAAATTCTTTTTTGGAGAGATAATTGGTGTGAGAATGAATTCCTAGAATCATTGTTCCCTCGACTTTTCAGAATTTCAAATCTACCAAATGCTTTCATCTCGCAGATTTGTTCACAATCCAATAACAATGATCCAAATTGGAGCTTGGTTTTTGAAGACGCCACAATGATAAGGAGGTAGAGGATTTGCATTCTCTACTTCGGTTAATTAATTCTTTTTCTTTCCAGCCTTCAGTTCCTGATCATAGAGTGTGGTTATGTGATCCTAACGGTTTTTTGTGTTGATCTTTTTTCTCGTCCTTAGTGGACAGAATATAAATTTATTTGGAAGTCAAGTTACCCCCATAGAATTAGAGTCTTCACTTGGTTGGTGGTGCTTGGGAAAATAAACACTTGTGACTGGGTTCAGAAAAGAAAGCCTCTGTTAGGCCTCCAATCTTGCGTGTTTACAGTAGAAAGAATAGGCGTGGCCATAGGGGAATAAGCGACAGTGGGGAAAGGAACAATCCCGAGGTAGATCTGGTTGAGAGGGAGTTGAGAGGGAAACTGTTAGGGGAGAGTCAATAGAAGAGGGCCACGTGGATCAGGCGGTTACAGGAGGGAATTAAGGAGGAGAATTCAAGGGAGAGAAGGGGGAGGAGAAGAACATTGTGAAGGGAGGCTGCTGGTTCTTCGAATTACCAGCAGGGATGAGAGTTTAGCTTGTATGAACTCTGGTTCTTGAGTCATTAGAGAGGAAATCCAAGATTCTTGAGTCTTGTATCTTTGTTTTCTTTATTGTTCTTTCGTCTTAGTTGCTGGTTTTTTTAACAATTTGGTATCAGAGCATATTGTGGAAAGTCGTTAGAATAGGATTGTATAGCTGTAGTTTCCTATTTTATAGGGATTTGATTTGTTTCCTGATTTCTCTAGATAAGGAGTTACCTAATATAGGGCTGAAATCAAGGGATTTAAAACCGGCTGTGGTTATCCCTAATTGCATATAAATAGTGGCTGTACAAAATTGTTTTCTGGAATAATAAGAATTATTCTTTCTCCTAAAAACCTAATCCGGCTCTAAGAAATCTTCATGGTATCAGAGCAAGGCTGCTGATCCAGTTTTTAGGATTTCTTTTCAAGCCAAAACCCTAGTTTCGTTTCAGTCCTCAACCGGGAAAAACTAGTATTCCATAACCCTAGTTTTGTTTCAGTCATCAACCGGAAAAAAAAACCCTAAACCTCATGGCATCAGAAACTGACAGCACTTCAGGAACCATGGCTGGTCAGGACAATAGTAATGCTGGCCGATCAGAGGGGTCCCTTCTTCTCATCACTCAACACAAGTTGAATGGTCAGAATTATCTCCAATGGGCCAAATCAGTAATGATGTTTATCTCAGGCAAAGGGAAGGACGATTACCTCACGGGATTGGCTACTGCACCAAAGCCGAATGACCCTAAGTACAAGATCTGGAAAGTAGAAAATAATATGGTGATGTCTTGGCTAGTCAACACCATGGACGCAGACATAGGGCAGAATTTCTTGTTCTACGACACTGCACATGAAATTTGGATGGCAGCTCAAGAGACTTATTCCGATAACGAAAACACTGTTGAATTATTCGAGATCAAGGGGGCACTTCATGATCTACGGCAGGGTGAATCAAATGTCACTCAATACTATAATTGTCTCACTCGTTATTGGAGACAACTGGACATGTTTGATAGTCCGGCTTGGGAATGTCCCGGAGATGCAACCCTCTACAAGAGATTATAGAGAAAGAGAGAGTTTTCAAGTTTCTTCTAGGGCTTGACAAATCCCTCGATGAAGTAAGGGGGAGGATTCTTGGAACCAAGCCACTCCCATCCATTCGGGAAGCATTCTCAGAAGTCAGACGAGAGGAAAGTAGGAAGAAACTTATGCTAGGAAGGTTACTGCCCACAGGTAACGAAGCTTCAGCCCTTGCAGCAAGAGGAGTCAATGCAGCCCACGACACAAAACATAAGAAAACTTGGCCTTGGTGTGATCACTGCAGGAAAATAGGTCACACTCGAGACACTTGCTGGAAAATCCATGGAAAGCCCACCGATTGGAAGCCAAGTCGAGAAAGAGAAGCCCGGAGTTTTGTTGCAGCCCCCAAAGACAAGGAAAAACCCACAAGCATGGAACCAAGTCTCTTTAGCAAGGAGCAAATCGAATGGCTGCAGCAAAAGTTCAACCAAAATTCCAATCTTGGCCCAACTGTCTCCACGGGATCTGCTGCCCAGAAAGGTATTTTTTCAGCCTCTAATCATGTCAAAACAGAGGACTCCGCAGACTGGATTGTTGATTCAGGAGCCTCATCAAAAAGGGTATAAGTGCTACTGTCCATCCACCAGAAAGACATACATCACTATGGATGTGACCTTCATGGAAAATGTTCCATTTTATTCCAAAACCACTATTCAGGGGGAGAAAGTGCAAGAAGAATATCAGTTTTGGGATAGCATGATGCTAGATGAACCAATGAGTGATATCACCCCTTTATATCCCGAGGCTGAGAAGGAACTCCTAGTCTACACCAGGCGGAAGAAGATCCCTAAACCAGTAGAACATCCGGAGATTCCTATGCCTTGCCAAGCAGACAACTCGAGTTCAACTCCAAATGAAGTAATACAAGGTAACACTGAATCCGAGCCTTATTCTAATGATTTGTGCGTGCCTGATGATCTTACTAAGCCAATTGCTCAAAGGAAAGGGATTAGATCGTGCACTCAACATCCTATCTCATACTTTGTGTCCTATGAGAAACTGTCTCTGAGTTACAGGGCCTTCACCACCAATCTAGATAGTATTCAGATACCAAGGAACATCCAAGAGGCGCTACTACATCCAGAATGGAAACAAGCTGTTAATGAGGAGTTAAGAGCCTTAAAAAAGAATGGTACTTAGGAGCTTACACACCTTCCTCAGGGCAAACAAGCAGTAGGTTGTAAGTGGATTTTCACTGTTAAATATAAAGCAGATGGAAGTATTGACAGGTACAAGGCAAGACTTGTGGCATAGGGCTTCACACAAACTTATGGCATCGATTATCAGGAAACATTCGCTCCAGTGGCAAAGATGAATACCATTCGAGTACTACTTTCCTTAGCTGTCAACCTTGATTGGAACTTGCATCAATTTGATGTTAAAAATGCATTCCTCAATGGTGACTTGGAAAAGGAAGTATATATGGAAATTCCACCTGGGCTCGAGCAATCACAAGGCGTCAAACAGGTATGCAGACTTCGAAAATCACTATATGGTCTCAAGCAATCGCCAAGAGCCTGGTTTGACAGGTTTACCAAGGCAGTTAAGGAGCAGGGATATTTGCAAGGACAATCAGAGGACACGTTATTCATCAATAGAACTTCGGATGATAGGATTACAATCCTTATTGTCTATGTTGATGACATAATTGTTACTGGGAACAATGAGGCAGAAATTACTTGGCTAAAGGGAATCCTGAGTCGGGAATTTGAAATCAAAGACCTTGGAGCTCTAAGATACTTTCTTGGAATGGAGGTAGCACGGTCTAGCAAAGGAATTTCAGTCTCACAGAGGAGGTATACCCTGGACTTACTAGAAGAAACAGGTGTGCTTGGTTGCAAGCCTTCAGACACTCCTATGGATCCTTTCAACAAAATAGGGACTAAAGAAGATTCAGGTCCGGTAGATAAAGGAAGATATCAAAGGTTAGTGGGCAAACTAATCTACCTATCTCACACAAGACCAGACATCAGCTTCGCTGTCAGCACGGTTAGTTAATTCATGAATAGTCCGAATGAAGAGCATCAAGAAGTAGTATACAGGATTCTAAGGTACTTAAAGATGTCTCCCGGCAAAGGTTTATTTTTCAAGAAAGGAACAAACAGGGGCATAGAGATCATGTCAGATGCAGATTGGGCAGGATCTTTGACTGATAGGCGATCAACCTCTGGATACTGTTCGTTTGTATGGGGAAATCTTGTCAGCTGGAGGAGCAAAAAGCAATCAGTAGTCGCTCGGAGTAGTGCTGAAGCTGAGTTCAGGGCCCTAGCTCACGGAATTTGCGAAGGAATGTGGCTAAGAAGACTCCTAGAAGAACTACAACTCCCAATCAAGACTCCTATGAAACTGTTGTGTGACAATCAGGCAGCCATCAGTATTTTGAAGAATCCAGTCCTTCATGATCGCACCAAACACGTGGAAATAGACCATCACTTTATCAAAGAAAAGATAGAGGATGGAATTGTGGAAGTTGTCTACACGCCCACACGACAACAAACTGCAGACGTGTTCACCAAAGCCATTGCAAGAACTCATTTCGATACTCTACTATCCAAGCTGGGAATGATTGAC